ACTAGTAACAGAATGCCATGTAGCACCAGAATTAATATTTGCCTAACAAACACAGCTTCATCTTATAATAGGCTTGAAAATATTGATATTATAGAGTCAGGATAATGTTGGATGATGGCACTCATTTTGTTCCAAGCTGCTAGGGTAGCTTAGACCCGAAATAATCACACAGAAACTGTATTAATTAAGACCCTGCTTGGCCCATTAACTCTAGCTTCTTATTGGCTAACTCTTATATCTTAATTTAACCCATTTCTGTTAATCTGTATGTGACCACGAGGTCATGGCCTACCAGCAAATTTTCAGCATGTCTATTTCAGCAGCAGATCCATGGTATCTCCCTGACTCTGTCATTCTTCCTCCCAGCAATCAGCTTAGCTTTCCCAGCCTACCTAAATTCTACCTTGCTATAGGTCCAAAGAAATTTCTTTATTCATTAATGGTAATCACAACACACAGAGAGGAATCCCAAATTATGGTAATGCTTAACATATGGAAGTCCTACATTTTACTATGATAAACATGTCTTGCAAAATAAATACCCTAACGAGTTCTTTGTTTCTACTGTAGGCAGGATCCAGTGCTAAGTGTTGTTCATTAAATGTAGAAATCAAATATTTGTTGATTTATGGGTATAAATGAAAAAAATAGGATTATGAAAGATTTGTGTGTTTAGATCAGTTGTAATTGCTTAGAAATGGCAATAAATACACTTACAAATTCAAATAAGGAACATGTTATATTGTTGTTAATTGGCTTCATAAAAATTATCCTTTAAATCTTGGCTGTAATTTGCTTAATTATCTATTTATTGCCTCCAGTAAATAGTTCACAGAAATAAATGACAATTAAAGGCACTCATCTCAGAAGTCATCACTCTCATATAAATTTCCTCTTAATCATGTAACCTATTTTTATTTAAGACAACCACCTGAGGCTAGCAAGTTAATTTACCCTTCTTGTGTTTTGTCAGTCTGAAAGTGCAACTTTCTTTTAAACTAATTCAAAATGACTTATTTATATTTCCAGCTAGTAAATCTGTGTGCTGTTTAATAATTTTTTGTCTGAGGAAACACATAAACAAATATATGTAGAGAATGAATGGTTCTCCAAGTGCTGATGCTAATCATTGCAGGATATTCAAAAAATAAACATCATGGTTTGTGAGCACTGTTTTTCCACTGAATTTTACCAAATTCCAGTGAATATTTTGTAGCTTGAGAGCTTTGCCACATAGATGAATAAAATTGGAAAAATATTGAGATGGACAGATTTGGTTCTCTGTAGCAACAAAGGCAACCAGTGAAGAATCACACAGTCCTTGAATATGTGTTAGGAATATCAGGTCAGAAAGGGAACGTGTCCATAGCTTACAGTGGTAGAAAAGTGAACTGAACAAACATGGCTCACACCATGCTGTGATTGCACACAAACATCTAACCTCAAGGAGATACTTCTTTATCAAGTTTTCTGGAAGACATGAAGGATCTTCTTGCAATTCTTGTTTGGTTGGGTCTACTTTGTGAATACTTTGTTTCTCAACTAGAAGCTATTGAAATAAAAACTAAATTATCCTCTACGTGTTATATTATGGACTTTTATGAGTAGTTTTTTAACATACTATGTCAAGCTATTGTTCATGACAGAAAAGAAGATTTCAATTATTCTGGTAAATGTAACATGAGGGCCGGCTTGTTGGGGTATCTGTTCCTGCCCGGTACCCTACAGCCAGCATACCCCAAGGAAAATCACACACAGGACTCCATAAGATTATAAACTGATTGGCCCATTAGGTCAGGCTTCTTGTTAACTCTTATAACTTATCTTAACCCATTATTCTGATCTATGTTAGCCATATGGCTTGGTACCTTTTTCAGCTGGGCCAGTTACAAGCTGCCTCTTCGGTGGTCTGCGCAGGAGTGGGAGAGGGAGCTTCTGCTTTCAGAATACTCCCAGTCTCTTTGCTCCACCCCTACTTCCTGTCTGGCTTTCCCGCCTATACTGCCTGCCTGGCCAATCAGCATTTTATTAAAATATGATTGACAGAATACAGACAATTCTCCCACACCATTTTCCTCTTTTTTTTTTTAAACAAAGGAAAATACCCATAGTCCATTTATTGGGAAAGTGGGCATAGTATTTCAGGCTAATTCCTGCTGGTTGGGGGCACTGATGATCTTATGGGGACCTAAAGAAAATTTAGAGTTATAATCAAGTCCTGACTGGAGTATCCTGTGAGTCTTGATCATCTCAGGCGGCAGTCTTGAATCTGTTCTGGATGTAGAATTCAGACATCTGGGCCATCTGTTCCTGTCGGAGATTTCTCAGGTGGCCTTCCTTGATCATACTGGATTTTTCGTAACTCAGAATGAATCCACAGCCTCTCATTTTCTGTGGAAACAAAAGCACAATCTCTTCTCCAAAGTAACATACCTTTTGACTTCAATTTTGAAGCCAAGGTATTTTCAAAATACCTATCTTGGGTTAGTTCAGCAACATTTATAAACAAAAGTCTTTTAGCAGCTGTTGCTCCTTCCTCAGCATTCAAACAATTCAAAGAGAGAATAATAGCATACAGTATCAAGATTCTCTGTTTATTTTACATCTTTATGCAGCTTTATTTCAACCTCTATTTCTTTTATTTTTACTTTTAACTTTTGGCTTTTTGAGACAGGTTCTCTGTATATATCTTTGTCCTGAAATAGCTCTGTAGACCAGGCTGTCCTTGAACTCACAGAGATCCCACTGTCTCTGCCTCCCCAGTGCTGGGATTAAAGGCATGTGCTACCACACCTTGAACTCATAGAGATCTGTCTCTGCCTCCCAGGCATTGAGATTGAAGGTGTCTGCTACCACACCTTGAAATCACAGAGGTCAATATACCTCCACCTCCCAAGTGTTGGGATTAAAGGTGTGTACCACCACACCCAACTACTTTCTTTTTACTTTAAGAACTTTAACTTTTATCCTGCATATATTTTTAACACACTGTAAAATATTTAGAGGTTTTTCTTTGTCTTTGAATCTCTCTTTACTGTATATCTCTCTTTATCTGACCACATGAGTCTTTAAGGAGAGGATTAAAGCCGTGGCTTTGACGGCTAGATCCAGTCCATTTCTTAGCTTTTCAGACTCATGGTAGAGGTACCACTGGAGCCATTTTTACTGCCACAACTCTATGGCATTTCAAGGTCCTTGCTATCCAGCAAGCAAGCTGCAGCATTCTGCTCACAGACCACACTCAGTCAGCCGGCCTGCCTGAAAGAGTCAGAGTTTGTCCTGACAGGACAGCCCAGAAAGCCGGCATTTTAAAAAAGCACAGCTTTTTTCCTGCTACGGCTGAAAACACGAAAAGCATGCGTTCAGCTTTTCATCAACACCATTTAAGTGTTTCGTGGCAGGACCTCTTAAAAGAGCTGAAGGATTTTGCAGCTAAAGCTGAGTCAGGAAGCCTCTCTTAGATGAGAGCACTTGCTTGCCTCTAGCAAGCAGAGCAGACCCAAGAAATTGCTGCTACCAAGAAACCATGCATAATGCTGTTATTTTGTTCTAGAATTACTTCCCAAGCTGTCTCAGGCTTTATGTGGATACAGTAGTCCACACGTTGGCACCATATGTAACATGAGGGGGCCGGCTTGTTGGGGTTTCTGTCCTGCCTGGTACCCCACAGCTGGCAAATCCCAAAGAGAAATCACACACAGGACTCCATAAGGTTATAAAGCTGATTGGTGCATTAGGTCAGGCTTCTTGTTAACTCTTATAACTTATATTACCCCATTATCCTTATCTGCATTAGCCACATGGCTCCGTACCTTTCTCAGCTGGGCAAGTTACATGCTGCCTCTTCGGTGGTTTGCGCAGGAGTGGGAGAGGGAGCTTCCTAGAATACTCCCAGTCTCTTTGCTCCACCTCTACTTCCTGTCTGGCTTTCCTGCCTATACTACCTGCCTGGCCAATCAGCGTTTTATTAAAATATGATTGACAAAATACAGACAATTCTCCCACAGCAGGTAAATCTCATTAGAGGGAAGTTTAAAAAGGAGCAAAGAACCACTATCATCATCAAATTTGAGACTGTAGTGGATGAACTTTAATTATAAACTATATCATTTTGTAACCACTTAAAATGCTGGCCATTGAAGTGCATTTTTGATAGGATATGCAAAGATCAGATAGACCATGTGAAAGTACCCGAAAAGCCCTAAAGGCAACATACAAATTAAGGTAGATGAGAACAACAGATATAGCTAGGTGGTCATCAGTAAAATTCAACTATCAACAAGATAAAGGAATATTGTTACCAAAACAGAAAGTATGAATGAATGAATGAGTGAATGAATATTTAACAGGTCCTCATGTAAGTCAGTCCTGGAAGCAGCATCTTACATTGTCTCTTTTGATACCCATTCTATAGGTTTCAATGTATGTCATAACTGGCTCTCAGTAGAGACTATTTACCTTCTCAACTCTGTATTCAGGGATTTCACAGTGTACATTTAAATTAGTCATTGAGGAATGACTCACTATTTAATTAGCCACCTTGGAATAATTAACCATCTAGAAATCAGAAAAAGCTAGAAATCAAGGCCTTTTCCTCTACTTTATGAGAGTAAGGCTGTTAAGCACTCACCACCAAACTCTTTATTAGCTTTAAATAATAATAAATATTATATACAAAATATATTCTAACTCTAAAGGCCTAGAACAAGGGGAAATATGTTAAAAATTTTATTGAATTTAAAGACTCTTATTTAGTTGGGATGTTTTCAGACATCCATAATATCCTCAGATTATACCCATGAAATATTTAGTTAACTCATTAATTTATATCTATATAACTTATTTCAAATGAAAGTGTTTATGATTTTTTAACAGACTTTTTGGTCATAATTCATAATAGATAGATTATGATTGAAATAATAAAATGTGATTCACTACTAAATTTAAGGTTTCTTTAGAACAAATCTTTATAACATAAACCATTCTGTGTTACTTTGCAGTGAGGCCCACAGTAATTGAAACTGATGTTTATGTAAACAGCATTGGACCAGTTGACCCAATAAACATGGTGAGTACAGCCTGTTATAATACAGGATTCCTGAGTGCTTGCCTTCTAGAAAAAGGAAGTGTGTGATTTAAGATAGTTTATGGTGAAGCAATTTTTTTTAAAGATTGTAATTACTATTGTACTGGTTAACTTACCAATTTGACACAAGCAAGATCATCTGAGCAGAGAGGACCTTCATTGAGATAAAGGGACTATAAGATTGACCTGTATGCAAGTGTGCAGGGGATTTTCTTAATTAATGATCAATGTGGGGGGACCAAACTCACTTCCCACATGTAGCACTTTGGGCGGTGCTACCTCTTGGCAGGTGTTCCTGGGTTGTACAAGGAGCAGGAGGAGCAAGCTATGGAGAACAAGCCAGTAGGCAGAATTCTTCCATGATCAAGGCTCAAATTGTTTCTACAAAGGTTTTACACTTTCTAAGTTACAGATGCAACATGCCTCAGTGATGGACTGTGACCTGTGAGCCAAATAAACACTTTCTTTATCAAGCTGAATTTGGTTGTGGTCTTTATTACCACAATAGAAAACAAACTAGGAAAACTGTGTCAAGTATTGGCCAGTGGAATCAAAACACTCCTTATGGAAGAATTAGTAGCTTCTTATTGCAATGGATTGCATTTATAATGCATAAATAATTACTATTGATTCCATCAAAAGTTGATCTCTGATGAAATCTGGAAGAAGAAAAATTAGGAAGCCCAATGGAAAAGGGTTATGAGATTGAAAAGGCATTTAGGGAAAAAACAAATAAAACACATAGTTTATACCAACAATATTGTTTAAAGTTATTAATTAAGAATAAATAAATTTAGAATTAAGAATAAATTAAATAATGCTTAACTAAGAAAAAACTTTTTAATGTTATAGGGAAGCTACAATTACCCCATTCTAGGAGCCATACCCTTTGTCTACAGAATGGGGTCAGGAATGTGCTGTAATATAGTCTAGTTTTCCTGGGTTGCTGTAAGCAACCAGATGATTATGCCAGAGAAATCCTCTTCAAAACTGTGCAGGGGAGAAGTAAGTTCTTCATGGGCATTGCTTGTAGATACTTTCTCACTCTACCCTTGCAATGTTCTGTCTGTTTGTGTCTCTTTCAGTATATTTTTAAAGAATTGCTTTTCTCTTTAAAAATATGTATATGATGTGATGTAAATACAGTATTCATGAGTGAAATGCTTAAAAATCAAAAATTTAAATTGAAGAAAGTGTGTGTGTGTGTGTGTGTGTGTGTGTGTGTATGCACACATGTGTGTATGTGCCAGTTTGTCTGTCTTTTGTGTGTCTTTGTGGATATGAGTACTACATATTAAAAGCAATTATGGATATCCAAGCACATGTACACAGAGACTCATTTCCACAATTGTTTTTCACATGTGGTGCTTTCTTGCGATAGAACTTAGAGTTCCAAACAGGCTGGTCAAGTAGTTTACAAATGAACTATGTGCCTAGCTCATTAACCTCTTCATAGCTGGAGAAGTAGCATGATATGGTTAAGTCTGTCTGTTTGTCTTTCTCATAATAGTAAACCTACTATAGTAAAATATAGTAATAAAATAGTAAAATACTCGGTTTATCTTATTCCTGGTTCAGCAGTGAAGCATGCTGATTGCTTCTCCAGAAGTCCTGTGTTTGATTCCCATCACCCCTATGAAAACTCATAACGATCTATAACTCAAAATCCATGATATCGGACACCTTCTTTTAGGGTAACTGCACACAAATACTTCATGGACATATATGCAGGACAGACATACATGCATTCAAATAATTATTGAGCTGTTCTTCTGAGTATGGTGGCACTAACTTCCACAGCTGTCTTCATTGATGGCCACAATGCCAGCATTTGGACAGTACCATAACTGATCATTTCATAACCATAACGGATATAATAGTCACCTTAAGGCAAGTGAGTATGAACAGGATTTTGTTAAAAAGATTTGAGTTGATAATGGGGGGCCACATTGGACTGACCTAGAAAATGATCTTAATTATGGGCTAATGCTCAGGTGAAAGACAGGGTTACAACTAGGTCTTTGTCAAGAATTATCTTAACCTCTTTCTTTTTAAAAGCTAATTAAATGAAAGTGCTATTGAAACTGACACTAAATATGCTGGGAAAAATGAAAACCACAGTCATAAAAGGTCTAATAAGAAGCCTGTGTGGAAGATAATTTTAACTAAGGAATTTAGGACAAACAAAACTCACATTTCATAAAATGAACAAAATTGTTTTGCTGTGAGTGTAGTCGAGTAATAGGATGTGAGCACAATCCTCACATTGTGTCTTGTTGTCTTGACAATCCTGTTGTCTTGTCAACAGACAAGAGGGTAGCTTCACATTTTTTTTCAGTAATTGCCCATACAATTGCAGTGAGACCAAAAATATTCATGTAACTGCTTTTTAGACCAGATATTTTCTTTGTTACAAAAATGTTTTTTTTTTTCCTTTGGAAGATTACTACATTAAGGAACACATTATAAGAAGTAAAACTTATTGTCATAATTGAATACAGATTTCTTCCCCTTGTTTCAGGGTTCGATTATGAATTTGTCATATCATATTCCTGTAAAAATGGGATATTTCATATTAACTGCATGAATGGATCAGTCAATTAATAGATAATTTTCTTAATTATTGTTTTGAGAACTTACACTAAAATGAATACAGAATATCTAATGAAGGTTTGAAAAAAACTAAGTACTGTTAAGAAGCATTATTATTTGCTTACATTATAATAAAAATGCTTAAATATAAGTAGAAATTCAGATATACCCAGATCTGAAGGCAACATAATGTCAAATGATATTAGTTAAATGAAAAAAAAATTCTGCCTAGTGAATTTTCAGTCTTTGAGAAGTAGGTATGATTTTCCTTTGTTGATCACCCATAGCCCCGTAAATACCTTTTGACCTGTGCATAAAAAACATCAAGGGTTAAAGTTATTCCTGCAGCAAAGTCAACAAAAAGTAGGTATCGAGAAAGCTGAAGAGCTCATGTACAACTATAGGGGACTAAACAGAAGATTAGTTGGTGTAAACAACTTCAACTGACAATTACAAACATGCACTGGATATGAGCTCCTCAGTGGGAATACTGGAAATGAAAGACAGGGAGAAGCGACCTTTACAAACATGTTAGGAGGGAGAAAACACCTCACATTTGCTGAACGTAATCCCTGCTATCCTAGCCATAAGATTGGCCTCTCATGTAGTCAAGAATACAGTTTCTGAAACTGTATAGACCTTCTTGATAGAATTTTTAACTGGCTTTGAGAACTGACAGGTGGGTGAGAACAGGAATCCAGATGTGAAGTTTATAATTCAGAGATCATTTGGAGACTCAGTGGAACTGTACTTCAGAATAACAAACTAACAGATTAGACTACATGGCAAACAGCACAAACAAGCTTGGGTCATTTTACTAAAGAAAGTGAAAATATACTAGTCAATATTGTAAATAATTAACAAGCACAATCATTTTCAAATTAATATCAAAAGCAAAGGAAACCCAGGAAAAAATTTAAACTAATGTACAAGTAGAGCAGCAAAGTCAGAAGCACAGTTCAAAACGGAATGGAGGGAGAGGGTGGCCCTCAGCAATCACAAGGAAGAGAATTTGTTTTGTTTTGTTTATTTTCAAGTGTTTAGTGGAATGGGAAATTGTCAAAACTGTGGTGTGTGTGTGTGTGTGTGTGTGTGTGTGTGTGTGTGTGAGAGAGAGAGAGAGAGAGAGAGAGAGAGAGAGAGAGAGAGAGAGAGAGAGAGAGAGAGAGGTGGGGAGACTGGGAGTATATGTATGTGCCCATGTCTATGTCTGAATATTTGTGCTGAGAATTTTTAAATGATGTGTTTTATTTTCACTGTATTGTCCTATGAATAAGAAAGGCAGATGCAAAATTACCTCCACTCTTTGTAGACTGACTCTTGTCCCATTGTCTCTCCTTTTTTCTATTCAGTTGCTTTTGCATTTAGGAAGAAAAAGCCTGAGATATAGCTTTTACACATCGAAGAAAATATTTTCTTTGCTTTTACTATATAAACAGGAAATGTCACTGTGCCAAGTACATTAACTTGAAAAATTAGGAGGAGGAAATGTGGCACAAGAATAAGACTGATTTTTTTTCTTCTTCTCAGATTGCATGTGCTGTGGAGGGGAGAAAATGATTTTGGTACTTGGGGGATGATGTACAGCTGTAAGATTTGAAGAAATACACCAGAACTTTTGACTTTTATGTTTGTTCCCTTGGCTTTTATGGTACTTAAAGTCTTACCACCACAGATGAGTTTCCTTACCCATGCATCTGTATTAACTTTTATTACCAATTGCTTATAATCTACTTTTTTTTACCACAAATCTTATTTTAAAAGAATGTAACATATTTTTAATATAGCACTATCAAAGAACAAATTAAAATTGTACATGAGTAGCATCTCCTTCTCCTGGCCTCTTAGATCCTGTGTGCTCATTTGCCATGTTATTAGTGCCCACAATTTAAAATTTCCTTGCCTTAGAATAAAACCTTCTTTGGTGTTGTTTTGTCAACCTTATTTTCTATGTTTCTGAAGCCTTTTGTTTGCATTTATGATGTGTGTATAGAGGTCAACTTTGTGGAAATTGTTGTGTTCTTCCCCCTATGACCTGTATTCTGAAGATCAAACTTGAGTCGCTAGAATGACATGAGAAAGACTTCTACCTGATGATCAATCACATTGGCCCAACACTCATTTTTTTAGACTTTATCATATTTATTGTTGATTGTCTTATAAAAATTTATGCAGTTACTTCTCAGAAATATAAGGCATCTTTCTATGAGAGATGAAAAAATATCAAAAAAGTTGCTCTATTTTGGAAAAAAAGAGACTGATCTTTCAGCAAGTAGATAAATATAAATGTCAAGATATATGTGTGAATCCATATTGATTTAAAATGGCGAGCCCAGTGCCACTTGTTATGAAAGAAAATTGATAATGAGTAGCTTTCCTATGTTGTAAAA